TTACTGTAGATAGAAACCTGCGTGGTAAGATACGCCCTTGTGCAGAGCTGCTGAGGAGATTAAATGGTTCCATAGGCTTTTTCCAATTTTAGCCTCACAATCCAGTAATATAAAATAATACTTTAAAAGATTTAGGAGTTAGCAGTGTGAAGATGATTTATTTAATAACTCTAAAGTTTTGGAATTACATACACTCATTGCAGGGAGTACATGCAATTTATGTATTATATGCCAACAGACACTGGTTCATAGGATTGTTTCTTCAGGAAGTATTTACTTTTGAGGTTCCCAGTGATTTTCTGCTTAACTATCAGGCAGTACTTTCATCCTTGGATCTTGAAGCATTGTATAAAGGAGAATAGACATCTGAGTGACACAGATGAAATGTGGGGAAGGGGAGGTGCTGAAGCACAGAGCTGGAGTTGCCTTACTTAAGGTCATCCTGCTGCTCATCATGAGAGAGAAGAACCAGGTCATCAAAGTAGCAGGCTGGTCCGCACGGATAAAAGCTCAGCGGGAAAGCCATGAACTCACTGAAGGCAGTGAGCCTTCCCCTCTGAATCCTGGAATTGGCTACCCTTCCTGCGTGTATGAGTAGCACAGCTGCAGCCTGTGTCTGTCACTTCAAAACTTTTCTACAGTCCCTTGTGTTCCACTACACTGGCCTGGCTGATGCTGAAGTCACACAGCTGTAGCTTGCAGACTGGCTGGAAGAGACAGACAGCAGGTGTGTTCAGCAGCTGTTTCCGGCAGATTCCATTCTGCTTGGTGTCTTTATAGCTTGTAAAGTAAAGGATGCAAACAGTCCCTCTCTAACTCTTCCTAAGGGTCCACTCTCGCCTCTTCTGCTTTGTTGCTAGAAGCAGCAGCTTATTGCAGTACTAAGGTTCCAACTCTTTTAAAGTACTAAATTTATAGTCTGTCCAGTTTCTCAAAATAAAAACTAAGATGTGGCCTTAAGGCTGTAATATCCATTTTACCTTAACACTGATCCTTCACAAGAGCCTGTGATAGTTACTTGGAAGACCTTTGGTTGTGCTAACAACTCAGTGTTATTGCATCTAGCAAAGGAGAGAAATATTGTGGACAGGTTTTGGAAGGGATAGAACTGTGATACCATTGCTCTTGGAATGATCTCATCCACTTCATTACCTAAATATGTTAGCAAAGGAAAGGTACTGCCGTACTTGTTTGTATCATTTCAGCAGTGCTGCTCAAGCCTTCAGCCTAAACAGAGGGGGGGTCTACTTGAATGGGAAGGGTCAGCATTAGGTTGAGGTACACATTGTAAGTCTAATGGTGAGCAACTGAGTGTGTATCTGTGCATGGTGCCTTGTAGAAATAGGCAAAAGATGCGCCAGAGGGACAGAGGTGGAAACTGCAGGTGCGTTTGAAAATATAATTGGAAAAAGGTAGAGGCAGTTCTTCATCAGTGTAGTTGACAGAATGTTTTATGTTGTATTGGGCACTGCTCGAGGACAAAGGCTCAAGTCACAGGGATACATCTCGTATCTTTATGTCTTGGTTGTTAGAACCTTTACATTTGTTGAATTCACGTCCTGAGTAGAATCAGACACTCATTGAAAATCTACATCAGCTTTAATGAAATGTTTTCATTCCTTATGGATGTGTGTATGGTAGATGTTAACAGAAACAAAATTATCATTGTGGGAATTAGTGGTTGCTCAGGCACTTGAAGCTGTTGCATGTTTTTGCAGCTGGGATGCAGCTGCCATCCAGCAGAAGTGAGTGATGTGCTACACTTATCCCCATATCTGTCCCCCTGTTTTCTCACTTTATTGTGACATAATGGACCTGAGTCAATATGACTACAGCATACCATTGCAAAGTGTATGAAACAGTGAATTTCCTTTCTTCTCCTTTACTTCTGATGTTCTAGGGCTTTCAGCAATTTGTTAACATGTGAGGGACAGCTGGTATGGTTTTTCCTTACCCCACAGTCTTCACCTTACATATGCCCTTCTGTCAATTTCAGATCACTGCCCATGAGGGCACTGGTGCTCTAGAAGCTTTTGGATACTAAAAGATAAATTCTTTCAAGGGGAGATGGGACAAAATCACTGAAGAGAAACCCAGGATGGTTTATAAAATATAATGAAATTAAGAAGTTCCTGGCCCACACATTATCTGAGTCTGCAAGAGTATTAGGAAGAAATATTGACATGGACCTGACCTATTTCTACATCACTGGTTTTAGGGTTTTTTATATCAGCTGCTAGAGACTACTGCTAGAGACAGGGAAATATTAGAAGTGAAGCTTATCCAAACCCAGTAGGGCAGGTCTTGCATTGTAATGGGTTGCATGGTCCTGCTGTCCTGTTCTTGCACACCATGTTCAGTGTTGCCCTGTCAGAGGGCTGCCCTTGGGGCACAGTGTGCTCTGCTGCCCAACCACATTGTATTCCTAAGATCAAGGCAAAACTAGTGCTCCTGTTGTGTGTGACTGTGCTCTGAAACCCCTCTGCTCTGTTTTGAGTGGATGCAGGCTCGAGTTAATAACTGCATATGATCTGGAAAGACCTATTCTTTTTTTGCTGTCGTAGAGGGAAATACCAGGGAGAGGTTCTCTATCCCTGTAAAAGCCCAGCCTGTGCATTGCTGCTGTCAGGATGTGAAAATGTGGTATTAAAAGACGGACAGAGCCATATATTTCAGGAATTTGAAGCCCCAGCTTAGAGTGAGGTCACATTTTACGGTGTGACCTCTCTCTAATGTGTCCTGACATTCCAAGCCATGCTTCACAGCAATGTAGACAAAATCCATGCTGCTTGCTCAGCTCATTATACTTTACTTTGCAGGAAATACATTCTTTACTTTAAGAGGATGACAGTGATAATTGGCGCTGAAGCATTCCTGTCCTTTTAGAATTGTTTCTTTGCTCTGAAGCCAGGATTTCTGTGATGCTTTTTAATCCTGATGCTTGTCATTCAGGATTCCTTATACAGAAAAGCATTAGAGTCACTCAGAATCCCAGGGCATAGTGCCGAGTAAAGGCATTAATTATGACTGGTGACAGTCTCTTGGAGTGCCCGCTGCTGGTCTGAGTTGTGCATAGGTAACTTTTGACTGTAGCATTTGTGAGGGTTTTTTTCTACTTTGGTACCAAATTATTTACTTTAAACTGCATTGTTTGTGTGTTTTCTTTCTGCCCCTGTACCCCACAGCACTGTGGGCACTGGCACAGGGGATTGTGGCCCTGGTCCACGCTCAGTGGAGGGGTTCTGAGAAGCTTCTTTGTTGTCTCTCTTTTCTGTTTTGGTGGTTCTTTGGCTAAAATGCCAATGAAAAATAACATTATTTCAGTTAAATTTTTGGTACTCATTGAGAGCTGTTGTGATGTGAGGCTCTTTCTGCTGTAAGAAGAAACATAGTGTGATTGCTGCTCAAGCAAATCTTGAATGAAGGATTGATAGGGGGAGACTGAAATGCTGCTGATGGTTGTCAGAGACATTTTCAGAAAAGAGATTGCACATACTTTGCTTTTGTGGTTTGGTGTGTGGTTTGTTTTTTTTCTATTAAGCCAACTGTACCATGTCTTCCCTTGGAAGATCTGCACATAAAAAGGATTTATCTTTCATTTCTCCTTTATTAAACCTGCAGAATTAATATCCCACTCTGAAACAGTGTTTTGTCTTTTTGTTTTGAAGCCACTGCTGATAATGAAGAGTAGCTTATAAGTACCTGTATGCCATAGCTTTTATTTCTTCTCACACAATTCTTTACAGGCTTGTGATTCTTTTAATTAATTTCATAAAGAAGTTGTGCTTTGATAATTCATTGGCTCTGTTATCAGGTTGAAAGGTGAGGTGTGAGTACAGCTGCAAGGTAATTCTTCAGCTGTTTGGGTCTGAGACTTTCACAGAGGAAAAATACTCTTCCACTTCTTGGAGGGGAGAAGATGGGAACAGCCCTGATGTACTTGTTGATAAAGGGTGTCAGAGCTGGTTTGCATGGAGGGAGCATTTTGGGAAACACATAACATCATTATATTAATAAGAGTGAAAGAAGGATGAACCTATTAGTATGATGTGGCCAATCTTTGTGCTTTTACAAATGTATTAAATACCAAAGAGGTTATTTTTGAAAGATGATCCTGGGAGCTAACACCTATTACTTTACTTAGTGTGTTGTGGACAGTATTCAGTAAATACTCATTTGATCTGGTGGCTTAACTTTCCACGTAGCTTATTGCTAGGTAATCTTTCTCTACTCCAGAGGAGAATGTATTTGCTTATTTTTCTTCTCTCTCTCTCCTACCTTTATTTCTGTTCTGCTTATCACGAAACAGAGAAATATTTACATTAACAATTTTTTCTTTATTCTGTTTAATGGGTTAAAATAAGTTCATACTCAGGGCAAGGATTTATTTCACTCTGTTACTTGTTTGTTTGGTTTTGGGGGTTTTTTGTACTTCAGGCTTGGTGGGGATGAGGAAAATTAGCCTTGTGCTTGAAATTTTTGAGGGTGTTGGTAGGTATCATTAAAACTCCTTCTGTAAAACAGTACTTTATGTATGGATTTGTGGTATTTTGTGATTCTGAGATTTTTAAGAGCATCACAGCACCATAGTCTTCAGTACCAAAAGCACGTCCTGAAAACCATGAACCATGAGACCCTGAACCAAAGGCTGAGCCTGAGGTGTCAGTCAAGATCTATGGTACTGAAGGCATACCCAGAATACTGATTGCTCTTCAGAGGTCTGCTCTTTTTTTTGGTGGTTTTTTTTTATTTCTTTTCTCTCTGAAATTGGGAGAGTAGCACTTCAAATTTTTAATTACTTGGACAACCTGATTAGAAGTGGAAGGATCTGTGGATTACAGAGTCTGTACTGGGTAGTACTGGTCTCTACAGGGCAACACTGGACTTTAGCAGCTGTGCAGGAGGGTCCTGGGCTGGGACACCAGGAGGAGGCAGCTGCCACGGTCCAGGGGGAAAGGGAAATGGGACCGGGCACTGCAATAAGGGTCAGGATGCAGTTGAGGGTTCGGGAAGCAATGCCGATTTATTCAGGGAAAACAGGGGTTTAAATAAGGTAGGTCTGAGGGGAGGATTCAGAACTGGGGAGGAGCATGGGACTGACAACTCAGGGAAAAGTGTGATAGGGAGACAGGGAAAAGGTGGGTGGAACTCTTGGGTCTCCAGGGGAAGGGGGCAATGGTAGCTCTCCCTGTACTGCAGCAAACTGTAGCCAATCAGTAGCAGGGGAGCAGGAAAGCAGGGGAGGACAGGGTGACAAACAACTTCGGGCGGGAAAGTCTGAGGGAGAAAGGGGAACAATATGGGGATATAACAAACTTCATAAAAATTTAACAATAAACTGGGGTATATAAAACTTCATGACAATGCAGCAATAAACTGGGGTAAAACTGGGGAACAACTGTCAATCCGGTGGATGAATTGTCCAGTGTATAAAAGTCCATCTAGTTCCCATAGATGCTTCTCCATGCCACATATCTCTCCCAATCGGTTTTTTCTTCCGCCACAGGCAGCCACAGTCCTCTATAGCAGGAAAAATCACTTTTACTCTTGGTTTTTGGAACATTCCTGTGAAGTCTTACTGGGATGTCATTGTTTCCAGTATGGCCAGTACTAAGTGTGACATCCTTGATGTACACGTCTGTAATTGTTTCAGTTTGTACCTCTGGGCCATATTTTGGTGATGTTAATCTTAGGTAAATGGCCACAGTGGGTGGCCCACTGCGTGGGCTCTGACTGGAGGTGACTGTTGAATGTGCAGCTTTGTTTACTCCAGATAATCTCCAAATTTTTCAGCTAAATCAGAAAGAGAACAGAAGCTTTGCCTTAATGACAGAGGTCTCCAGATCCCCCAGTCTGTTCCAATATCTAGTGCCCAATCCATTAAAAACTGGTGCTGCTGAGTTCGCTGGTGGAATCTTTTGTCCTTCTGCAGCCTTCCCTGCTTGTAGAGGGCAGCTGGAAGTGTGAATGCTTTAATTGTGTTGTGAATCTTGAGCTTCTTAGAAAAACTATAATTTTGATCTTAGCATTGTACCTTTACCTCCCTCCCTGAGGGTGATGTTACTTTCTGGGTTATCATTCAAATTATGTCTGAACAGCAATAGCTTGACCTTCTTATTTTCATTGATATATTTCATTAAATAATATATGGTTTCTGTTGCTTTAACTGTTACTTAAAATGGAGTCACTCTGCCACAGAAAATAGCACAGATTTATATATGAGCCATAGGCGCCCCGGGCGCAGGGCACCCCGGCGGTCCCTGGCCCGGGGCACAGAAAGGAGTGAGAGAGGGGGAGCTGCGCCGGCGTGGACTGTGCCCTCGTGGTAGATGAGAGGGGGAGCCTCAGAGCACACAGAAGAGAAGGACAACTCTAAACTTGGGCAGATGGAGCTCGTTTAGCCCTGTAAGGCCATCCATCTAAGAGAAGGTCACTCTAATTAAACTTAGTCCTGAGGACCTCGCTGCCACCGTCCAAGCTCGCTCGGCCCTGGCAGATGAACCTTAGGATTCAAAGGTGGGTTCAGTTCCGTGCATGCTGTGTTCCACCTAAAAAATCCACTGCACAGGCTTGAAGGTGTTACCCACATTTGCAAAGCCAAACGGCCATCTTCTACAAATGCAGTCACACAAAGATCAAAAGACAAAGGCACATACACCTGCCTCCAGAGGTGTACCTAAATTAACTCTAGCGTACTGGAACATCAGAACCATGCTCGATTCGGCGGACAGCGGACGTCCTGAGCGTTGTTCTGCCCTAATTGCCCATGAACTGTCACGTCTCAACATCGACATTGCCGCTCTCAGTGAAGTTCGCCTTCACAAGGAAGGCAACCTCAGAGAACATGGTGCCAGTTACACACTCTTTTGGTCAGGCAAACCCAGAACTGAAAAGCATCTCTCAGGAGCTGGCATCATGATTAAAAACTCTATTGTTCCTAAACTCAAAAATCTGCTGACAGGTCACTCTGACTGCATTATCTCCCTACGCCTTCCACTCCACAAGAAGCAACACATTGTCATCTTTAGTATATATGCCCCAACTCTCCAAGCTGACCCTGCTGAAAAAGATAAATTTTACACTGACCTGCGCTGCCTTACCCAAAAGGTTCCTGCAGACGATAAGATCATTATCCTTGGTGATTTCAACGCCAGAGTAGAAAAGAATTTTGAAGCCTGGAAAGGAATATTAGGCAAGCATGGTGTTGGAAACTGCAACGATAATGGTCGACTTCTGGTAGAATTCTGTGCAAAGCAACAGCTCACCATCACTAATACTATCTTTCAGCAGAAAAACAGTCTGAAGACAACCTGGATGCACCCCAGATCCAAGCACTGGCACCTTATTGATTATATCTTGGTGCGATGGAAAGATGTCTGCAATGTCCATCACACCTGCGTGATGCCCAGCGCAGAATGCCAAACAGACCATCAGCTTGTGCGCTGCAAACTCAACTTCAATCTCAAATTCAAACCTAAAAGGGGCAGCATCCCAAGGAGGAGACTCCCAAGTTAACAATCTCCAATCAGCCACAGTGAGAAACAAATTCCAGGCAAATCTTCAAACTAGAGGATTCTATGAGGCCTTGAAAACAGCATATGGGCCTGCATACCAAGTCCAAAGCCCTCTACTCAGAACAGATGGTCAAACGCTTCTTACAGATAAAACCTCCATTCTGAATCGTTGGTCTGAACACTTTCAGACTCTTTTCAGTACTAGCTGTGTAGTCCAAGACTCAGCAATTCAGTCCATCACACAGCAACCGGTGAAGTACGAATTGGATATTGCCCCCACTTTAGGAGAAACCCTCAAGGCCATACAGCAGGTGAAAATCGGCAAGGCAGCTGGGGTTGATGGAATTCCACCTGAAGTCTGGAAACATGGGGGCCTTGCACTCCATGCTAAATTTCATGAGTTTGTGGTGCGCTGTTGGGAAGTAGGCAAACTACAATCGGACCTTCCAGATGCAGTCATCATCACCCTGTATAAGAAGAAAGGAATTAAATCTGATTGCTCAAATTACCGTGGTATTACTCTGCTCTCCATTGCTGGCAAAATCCTGGCAAGAATACTCTTGAACAGACTAATATCCACTATTGCAGAAGGAATTCTACCTGAAAGTCAGTGTGGTTTCAGAGCCAACAGGAGAACCACGGACATGGTGTTTGTTCTCAGACAACTGCAAGAGAAGTGCAGGGAACAGAACAAAGGTCTCTATGGAACGTTTGTTGACCTCACCAAGGCTTTCGATACTGTGAGCAGAAAAGGTCTGTGGCAGATTTTGGAACGTTTATGTTGTCCCCCCAAGTTCCTTAAAACGATCATCTCACTCCACGAGGATCAGCACAGCCAAGTCAGATATGGCAATGCACTTTCTGAGCCCTTTCTAATAACTAATGGTGGGAAACAAGGCTGTGTTCTCGCTCCAACCCTATTCACAGTCTTTTTCAGCATGATGCTCCAAAGGGCCACGGCAGACCTCGATGATCAGGACGGTATCTACATTTGATACCATACTGATGGAAGCCTATTCAATCTAAGGCGACTGAAGGCCCACACTAAGACCTTAAACCATCTTGTCCGGGAGCTGCTTTATGCTGATGACGCCACCCTTGTCGCCCACACAGAAGCAGCTCTGCAGCGTTTAACATCCTGCTTTCCAGATGCTGCTGAGCTCTTTGGGCTGGAAGTCAGTTTGAAGAAGACAGAAGTTCTCTATCAACCAGCACCTCAGGAAGTCTTCCATCATCCCCACATCACCATTGGCCAATCAGAGCTCAAATCAGTCCAGCAGTTTAATTACCTAGGTAGGCTCATCTCCTTGGATAGTAAGATTGACGGAGAGATCGATAACAGGTTAGCAGAGGCATACAGTGCCTTCGGAAAGCTTCATAAAAGAGTTTGTTGTAATAAACACTTGAAGAAAAGTATAAAGATCAGTGTTTACAGAGCCATTGTTCTGTCTACTCTCTTATACGGATCTGAATCATGGGTCATCTACTGCCACAACCTGCAACTCCTAGAACACTTCCATCAACGCTGCCTCTGTACAATCCTAAACATCCACTGGTCAGATTATGTGATCAATACATCTGTTCTAGAACAAGCAGCAGTCACAAGTATAGAGGCCATGTTGCTGAGAACACAGCTGCGCTGGGCAGGGCACGTCTCCAGGATGAAGGACCACTGCCTCCCTAAGATCCTGCTCTATGGTGAACTTGCCACCGGCTGCTGCAAGAGAAGAGCCCCGAAGAGAAGATACAAGGACTCCCTGAAACAACATCTCAGCCTTGGCCATATTGATCAACATAACTGGTCTACTCTGGCCTCCAGTCAGGAGGTCTGGAGACACACCATCTATAACGCTGCTGCTTCCTTTGAGAACTTATGCAGGATCACTCTGGAGGAGAAAAGACAACGCAGAAATAATTGTGTCTTGCAGAATATACCATCTAAGGAGTCTTTCTGCTGTGCCTTTTGCAACTGGACATGCCTATCTCATATTGGCCTTTTTAGCCACCAGTGCGTTTGTAACAAACATGGGTAGAACCCTCCCCAAATCTTCGTTCGTGAAGCCTGGCCATGATATATGAGCCATAAAACAGTGCAAGAGAGCTCAGCCTATTCTGGGCTGGGCAACACTGTGTGAAATGTGCCTACGTGAATTGAAGTTACATAGGGGAATTTATTTTTTGATGACTTGCCTTGCAAAAATGTTCTAATTGACATTTTTTTTAGTGTCCTTTTTTTGATTTTTTTTCCCCTTCATAAATATTTCTGATCTTTACTATGTGTTTCTTTTTTTTTTGTAGGAAAAACAAGCAATTGCTAATGTCAGCCAACCCCCCAAAACACAGACAAGGGGAGCACCTTCTGCTGCTAAGGTAATGTATACTTAAGGAAGTGGTCTTTTTTACCATTTTACCAGTGAAGAGAATATGGTGTGGCTTCACAGAAAACCATTTGTTCAACAACACTAGGATGCTCTTCATGACTTGCTAGAAATCATAGTAAATTGAAATGAAAGGGGAACAGAAGCCACTGTTGACTTCCTGAGGAAATAGATGTGGTAGCATTCTCCCCTTTCATGTGTTCTTTGTTAGTGTCCTAGTTATTTTAAAGAATCCTGGTCCCATTGATATCAGTGGCAAACTTCATTTGACTTTTACAGCCCTATGGTTCTTTTTTCACCTTTAGCTGTTGTATTTTTGGATTCTGTTTACTCAGTGGAACCTGGTGAGATTGAAGCACTGAGAAACTGTCTTCGCTCTCATTGTCCCTGGAGTAAGAGGTGTTATAAAGCTGAGTTGCAAAGGAGTGCAGATGATACTCTGAGGAGCAACAGGGTGCTCAGGTCTTGCAGAGTACTGAAAGAAGGTGTTGACAATACTCTTTCTGATGGTGGTTGATGGTTGTACTTGGTAGTCATTGTTATGTGCTATTTGTCACAGATGACTGAAATGCAGCTCACTGGAAAGAGAAGCAGCAATATGTTTTATTGAGGTAAATTAATAATTTGACAGTTTGATGGAAATTAATGAAGATTAACGGTGGTTTGACCACATTCTGTAAGTTTGATTGCCAGGTTCATCTCATTAATTACTGCATGGAAGAAACATAAAAAGGAAAATTGAGTTGGAATGATTCACACAGAGAGACGAAAAGGGTAATGAAAGACCTTCCCGCTGAGTCACAAAGTTCAGAGTAGACCCCCTTGCTTTCTAAATTCTTGATGAACCTTAAGTGTGGCTGAGTCCAGTCCTAGTCTCAGATTCGGACAAGGGTTTATGTCTAGTGGAATTATCCATATAATGTTTATAACAGTACTGAGTAACTATATATGGATTGGTGCTGTTTCATAGCATTAATTCAGCACACTACCACTCACTCACTGAGGATCTGTTGTGAGTAAGGGGTCTCTCTGCCACAGGTAAGGAAGGATCTCTGTCTCAGGTGAGGGATCCCAAACTTCAAGAGGCCTCCCTGCTCAGGGGAAGCGTCCCTGGTGTGCAATGCTGCTGCAGTTCAGGGAGAGCTCAAATCAGGCCCATCTTGATGCCAGAGTGAATTATTTGGCTACTGGTCAGTAGTAGAGACAAGACTGATGTCTTTGTTTAGCTCTAGCACCTTGTTCTGCACTTTCATTATTTTCCACTTTCAGGTTTCAAAAGCACTTTGTAACATATTTTTCAACACATCTTCATTCCTTTGTATGTGAGCCAGGGGGCTGTCCAGCTCATCAGTTCACACCACGGATGTGAGGCTGGTTGCTCCTACAGATTACTTCAAGGAGTCCATTAATTCACCCCAGTGTTCCATATCTGGAGATAACCCATTATTTGAAGGATCCTATCAGCAGGAAGTGTTTCTGCTTTTGAGTGGGATTTTTATTTTCTTAATCAAAGCTGTTGTAAAATAATACTCCTAAAGATTTCTCTAAACCACTTAAGTTATTATTTTTCCTTTCCGGCTAAGGAAGGAGGAGACAAGGATATAAATGCTGTTGTCACTTACTTTCAATGCTTTTGTCTATCATTATAAAGACATCCCCAGCTTATCTTTCTATTCCTTTTACTTTGCCAGAGCCTTTTGCCAGCTAGTCAAGGTGGATGTAGTTGTCCATATGTAGTTCTCATGACAGGTGAGACAGTCTCAAGGATTATCCTTCTGCATGAGAATCTACAGCTGCATAGTGGAAGCACATATCTAATTTTCTAACTAACACATCTCTAAGTTTTCTTTTGGTTTTTTTTTCAGTTAATGTTCTTTTTATGATAAGTGTGTCCTCGACCCTAAGGGTGAAAGGCACGATTTCTGGTGATGCTACTAAGGATAAAAACTGGAAGGTAGTGTCATGAAAATAATGCAATGCAATTGCCAGGAATTGCTTTATATTAGGTTATGACAACCTAGGCTATGTATTTCATCAGTACTGGGTGTTTCCCCAGTTTCTGTGACATTCCAAAATATTTATAGGTAAAGATTATATAGTATGACAATACTTATCTCATGGCTGTCTAATAGTGACTGTTATTGGATAGTTATTTTAAGTTTACCCATTTTAGTTCCCACTCAGCCATTTCTGCTTTTCTTCACTTAGGCTAAATCTTCTGTTAATTATATCTTTATATCTTTTTAATAATATCCTGTGAGCCTGTAGTGTTATTTAAAATAGAGCAAAACTCAGAGATGTATTGTTCTTGTAGTTTGTGCTACCTGTAGCTTTTTCATTTGGCTTGCTGTATTTGCCCTTATTTTGGTCTCTAAAAATATCTATTGAAAACAAAAATTTTGCAGAGGTTTTGGTTTTTTTTAAATAGAAATTTTACAGGAAGAGAAGTATTTCTTGAAGAGGCAAGGCAGCCCTTTCTCTTTTGCTGCAAACCGATCAAATCTTTTAATGCAATCAGAAATACTCCACCAGGTCTTAGACAATTTGGAACTGCTGTTTCTTCCTTTATTTTTTTCCCCCTGATGTAGCTTTAATGTGTCCTGTGTGCAAAACCTCTTTTGATTCTTTAATAATTCTGTTGGTCAGTAATACTTGTCATTGATGCATTTTATCCCAGATAAATTTCTAACTCCTTAGAAGAGGCAGGGGAAGTAGGATAGTTAGTTGCTCCAGCTCAAGCTGTTTATTTTTTTAACATATTCATACCCTATGGTGAAATGACTTACTCTGAATTGAACAGCCAGAGGGGGTTTTGCTGCCTCATGTTAGGTCTAAATAATTTTTCCTTTTAGTCAGTAAGTAATAATAACTGATGGCTTGTTCCTTCTTGGGTCACTTGCATTTCTGAGTTTTAAGATGCAGGAAGTTGTGTGTGATGACGCCTTGTCATTGTGTCATGGATGTGGGTAGTTTGATTGTCCTGTGATGGTACCTGTCACATGGACAACTCCTAAGGGACAGCACTGCCCCGTCCAGCTTTGTTTTCATTGCGCTTTCCATCTGAACAGTTCTTTGTGCCTTTATTTTACCCTTGTGCTCTTCGTTCGGTCACTCTCGAGTTCCTGGCATTGCAGCCAGGATGTACTCATTTCTTCTGCTCAATGTGCAGGGATGTTATTTGGCTGCCTATGGCAACCTTGGTGTGCCTAGTTTCTGCATGACTCAAATCTAAATTAATAATTTAAAGGTGTTTAACAGAAACAGATGTTTTGACTCCTTTGTATCTATCACAGGCCTTTCTTTCCTCTTCGATGTGGAGTCCTGTTTGACTGCGGGTGTTTTCAGTAAGCATTTGTCTGCCTTGTCAGATAAATGGACTAAAAAGGTAGATTCAGGTAAGGTTATGATCATCAGGAATATTTATTGGTTGCCTATGAGCAGCCTCTTCCTTCTATACATTAACTGCAAAGGTGCCCAAACTTTTGGAGGTCATGGCTTACTAGTATTATCAGCCAGCAGTGAGGAGGAAAATCTGATCCAACCCCCTCCTTCTGCAGAAGATCCCCTACCAGTGCTGCTGCGTTTTCTTTTACAGCCTGTAATGATGGTTTTGCCAGTTCCACAGCCAGTTTCTAGCTCAATGTTCAATCATAGCTATTAATAGAAGGCACTGATAATTGAACACAGATGGATCCAGCCACCTTTCTTGCATCTTTGTGTTCTTTTGTGGTAATTCCATTGATAACAGATGAAGTTTTGCTGCTTTTTGTGTAGCAGATTTTTTGCATTGCTCTTAACAAGTAATAATTTTCTTTTTGTGGCTGGCTGCCATAGTTTAGAGAAGTGAGAGTCTTTGCCCATTTTACTATCATGGATTATTTTTTGAAACAGTGCTGGAAGAGCTCAACAACAGTGGAAATTCAGTAAGAATTACTTTGATTTCAGATTTTCACAGAAAGCTTCTTGACCTTAATGATTTAAGAAATTTAAAGCTACTTGCTTTCAACTGGCATCGAAATTATCACTGTTTTAAGGGGGCATTCAGTCTGCTTTCTTATACAATGAACAGGAACACAAGATAAAAAAGGGCAGTTACTAAATACCTTTCAGTGAAGTCCCAGTATTTCTTCAGTGGATAAGTTAATCTAGTTTATCATCAAAAATGGTTCCTACTATCAATATATTTACTGTTTAGGTTTCTTTTTTAACTATTTAACTGTCACCCAATTTTTATTTGGTGACCTTTGCAGAGGCACCTTATAAAGGAATAATTTTTGAGTAAAAGGTATCTGAAGTTACAATCCCATATGACAAGTATTGAGAATTTGATTATAGAGCCAAAAAAAAAATTCAAGAGCAGGTCACTATGGGTATTTCAGGAAGAACCTTTTAATTTATAAATTAATATAAATCATTTAAATTTGTGATACTTAAAAAAATTCCTAGTCAGTCAAGTTTTGATGACCTTAACTGGTCCAAACCATGATAATGACTTTCAGTTAGTAACATTTGTGTACTCTGGGAGCCTGGTTAATCAGTTCAAATTTAGGGGGTTATCCTGTAGACTTCTAATAGGAATATTGGTCTCTTGAGGGGAAACGAGTGGTTTCCTTTCTGTGGCACCAGTGCAACTAACTCGAAAGGCGAACACAGCTTTTTGAAAGCTGAATGTTGCACCATCCCAAGCAGGCATTTCACCCCTGCTTTTGCTGTGTGACTCTGGCAGTGTCAGCCTGCTGACAGCTGTCCCTGCTGGGGGACCTTGGTCCAGCCACTTACCAGCAGTGACCCCGAGACTGGGAGGCAGGTTTGCTCATTGTGGTATCTCGCTTCCACCGTGCTAGCGGAGCCTGAACCTGCTGGTTTGGGTCCCCTCCCCTGGCACCGTGGGGCTGTGCTGGCAGGGAGGCAGCCGTGCTGCTGGGTGGAGATTGCGCCACTGAGCACACGGGCTGGGCTTTGCCTGCACTCCCGGAAGCCACAACCACAGCTGCTCCAGCGCTGGGGCGAAAAGCAGCCGCATCCTGCCATTCCTGCTGGAAACAGAAGGCACACGTCTATCCAAAGTGAGTTAGCTATTTTTGTCGGCTCTGCTTTCCTGCTGCTTCTGCTTGAGGTCATTTGTGTTCGTGTTGCAGTCCCTTTTTCATATTTTTTTTTCCTTTCTCCCCCTCCCTGTCTTCTGGGAGTTTTGTGGGCTGAAGTAACACAGGCTGCCAACTTCAAGGCTTCCGACGTGATTCAGTTGTCAGCAGACTTGAAACGCTCCAGAGCGAGCTGTGTGTAGTTAATTAGCTTCTAAAATTATTTTAACGTGCTGGAAACACCCTTTTAAGACGCGGTAACACCACCTGACATAAGCAGTTGGAAGTAGAGAGGGAATGAGAAACAAACTTTTAAAGTGGTGTCTAAGTTGTTCTTATATTGCTTTTGTATTTATGTTTTTGTTTTGGGGTGTGGTTGGCATTTTTTTCTTGCTCACAGCCCACGCTGTTACTGCTTCCAAGACCCATATAATTTTTTGGCGTACAAATGCAGAGCCTATATGCCTGTGGCACATACAGCATATTGCGTAGTCAGGGTGTGGTGATCTGTAAGAGCAACGTCTTGGTTGAACTGTGCTTAGGTATCAATACTTTAGTATTCTTAAAAATATATAACCTAAAAGATGCTGAAACATCTGATACAGCACACATATGGAAAAAATAATATTTTTCAATAAATTGTATTCTTTCTGCAGTAGTAGAAATTAGGTAGGTGGGTGTTGCTTAAGGTATGCCACTGTTTGCTTATTGTTGGCAGTATAATACTTACGCCTCTTTTCTCTGGAGAAAGTGAAAATAGTGCATTAAATAGCCCAGAATTCCTGAACATTGCAGACACCTTTGCTGAGTTTTTGATCTCTTTTTTTTTTTTTTTTGACAACTAGCTTCCTCAATGTTAGGGTTTTTTAGATTGATATAAAACATACAGTAGACTAGCTTATTTGTTGCTGTCAGCTTTTTGTATAGAATGGTGCTTTTTTGGTTTAGGGGCTTGGGGTGGGTTGTGTGGTTTTTTGGGGGGTTAGGGTTTTTGTTGGGTTTTGGTTTTGTTGGCAGGTTTTTTTGTTTTTTGTTTGGGGGGTTGGTTTGGGGTTTTTTTTGAATGATTAGATATGCAGGGTATGTTGAACTTGAAGAAAATTCCATTTCTGATCTTGGAGTTGCAGAAACGATCTCCATGACCACTTTTTCTCACATCTAGTGCTTTGCACTTTAGGCATACACTCCTAGTTTGAAATCTAGGCAAAGCTGTGCTGCTCTGAAGATTGTGGCTCTTGGAGGATGCAGAGTGGCAATAGAGGAGTCCAGAAAGCAAAGGAACTGCTTTTTCAGTGAATAGTTCTCCAGCCTCTGCATTCTCACCATTTCTGCCCTTTGTTATCCTGAGATGAGAATGTCTCCACTCACTAACACTTGAGTCTCATCTGCCAAAGGAAGAGCCTGACAGGGAGACACGAGAGGTCGGTGGCCTTGGATACTCCTTGGGAACTCCTTAAGGCTCAGAAACCCTTCTGGTTCTGGAAGAAGTCAGGTCTGTGCCTGCCTTTATGCCATGCTTAGTAGGATTGCTTGGACCAACTAGAAAATTAACATTTTTGATCCCCAGGAGGGAAGTCACTGCTGAAGCAAGAAGGGCCCCAGTCTGCCTCTTTTTAAATGGAAATGATAAAACAATGTTGAATTTTTCTAAAATGATTGAAGATAAAATCCCAACAACATACCACCACCATCCCTGTTTATGCAGTGTTATCCCTAGATGATCTTTTCACAGCAAAGTTCTATTAAGATTCCTTGACTTGGTAGTTTTTGTTTATTTTCCTTTATTGTTTTCCATTCTTTTTGGTGACCAGTGCCACCATGACTGTGTGTGTATCAGTTCATACAGCTTCATGAATAATATTTTGTTTCTGGATAGTTGCAATTTCTAATTGAGAGTACTGCTCAGCTTGAGTACGGCCTGGCTTCATTGTTGTAATAGACGTAATCGAGCTCATAACCTCGGAGATCTTCAGTCATAAAATGAAGTCCTCTTTTACATACCATTTCTGTCTTTTTAACCCGACCGCACCCCGCCTTTATCGAGTACTGGTTCTGGTTGCAATTCCCTGGTTCTGTCCCAGCTCTGCTGAGCAGGGTTTTGCAACACTGCAGGCCAAGTGACACAAATCCCAGCTGAGCTCAGCAGCGCTGTATGGCATGTGGCTGGCACCTAATCTCCTGTTTTCATGGTGTTTACTTATCAGGCTGCAGTTTGCTGCTGCAGATAGGTGTGGAACATTCTCGTGTTTGAAACAACACACAGAAATGGAAGCAGTTAGCTGTAGCTAAATGCTAACAGTGTGCAGGAGGTAGAACTGAAAAAAAGGATTTTTGAGCTGCCTACAAAAAAAGGAGAGCTCGTCTGCAGTGACCAGCTCATACATTACTGTAATGCTGTATTGTGCAGAGTGGGAACCTGAGAAGAGCCGTGACTGGACTGGAGCACTGCTTCTAATATTTGAATATGACTGAATGAAAATGAAATTTCAGTGTGCACCACCTTGTTGAATTTATAGACGCAGAAACAGGAAGTTTCCAAGAGGAGGTAATTGAGGAGCACATTTTTAAAGAGAAGTAAGAACTGTGTGTTTAAAGCAGATTATTGATGTAATTTAAAAGGAACAAGGAGTGTGCAGCCTGTGATATTGACATGGTCTGTTTGCAGACACACAGATGTGAAGGCAGCATATGAAGTCTGTTACCCGCTTGGCATGTAATGACTTTCTTTCCAGATCTCTTTCCCTCATCATGAAAGGACATTACATAGAAGTTGCCTTCATATGTAGTAAAGCCTTTAAAGCAGTAGCCATGCTGCACACTGGAGTTTAAGTAATTTCTTGTGGTCACAAGTTGCATTGTGAGTATGTAAGGGTTCTTCATGTTTAGGTAGTGTGCATGATCTCTGACCAATTATCAAAGTCTTTTCCTGCTTCCAGAAGAAGTAAACAACCACAAACAAATGCACAGTGCTTCTTATCATTACCTGTGGGCTAATTCTGAATTTTTCTACACAACCCTAACTTCCTGCATATAGGTAGCATAAACAGAGGTGTTGGAAGTTTAAGAAAGAGTCAAATGGTACAAAAATTGTTTAGAGTGAATTGTCATTCACTATCCTCAGTTGGTTTTTGTTTAAGCATAAAGCTGTTTCAGAGTCTTAATAGTTAATGAAATAAAGAAAAGCAAACATGTCAGTATTAAGCTTTGAACTTGACTTAGGTTGCTGAAATTCAGACATCTTAAAATAGACATCTAACTGAAAGGTTGTTTGGCAGATCAGTTAATTTCTAGGTGGTGTGAAGCCTTGTTCTACTCTGTGGTAAATATGATACAGATCTCGTTCACTGATTTGCTTGATAACATTTGAAATAGCGTACACCAAATTCAAATAGGTTGTCTCAAAAACCACTGCTGAAAAACCTGTTATGTTGAAATTAAGCAGTATGGTTAGCCAGCTTTAGCTGATACATAACGTTCAGTGATTAAATACTGTCAAGTTTCTTCTCTGTTCCAAAATAGCAGAAATTTTATTCTAGTATTCAAAATAGAAGAAACCAGTAGGAGTGAGTCTGTGCTATGGAAGTTGTCTGGCTCAATGTTCCATGATGATCAATAAATTTAGCAGCACTTGAGGCTGTAAAAAGGCTTTACGAGCTCATCAGCTTTTCAATTTCCTGGTTCAGACCAGTCTCTTATAATGTTTTTATTTCAGGAGAAAATGGCTTTGTTTCCTATGTGTCTTTCAGCATCTCTCAGTGATGGTTAATCTTGCTCCTGGGTACAGACTAATAATTGCTGCAAGTACTTGTTCTGTGTGGTGAGAAAATTGCAGAATGATGAAATTGTGGGATTAATCTTTTCCACAGTAGCAAGCCAGATCATCTTCTGAACTGAGTTTTGCAGAGAGACATAGTAGTATGGCCAGTCTTCACGAGCGAAGATTTGGGAAAGGTCATTGACCCTTCGAGCCTGCGCAGTGGATTTTTTAGATGAG